TGTAAATATTTCGAGATTTGTCGGTCTGAGTATTGGTATTGACTCATCAACCTTTGGTACAGAGCTGCTTGCCTGTTCCTGCTGAGTACCTAATTTCTTTGAGATTTTTCCTTCGATGCTCTCAAGTTGAGTAGCGATCGTGGATAAAATCTTATTTGAATAATTGTTTTGATGCTGGATATTTTTGATATCTTTTAGGGTCGGATTACCCTTTTCTAGTCCTTCTGGAATATTTTTGAAGGGACTAACTTTGACTCTTTCTCCGTAGTAGTTGTCGAATTCAACTTCTTCCAACGGAGGATGTTTCGAATATACCTCGCCTCTTTTGGTAGTCTTCCAACTCCTCTGAGCCAAGGTGCATACTTGCAAAATATTCTCTTCAAATCATTCAAAGAATGGTATATTTTCTTCGATGGCTTCCATATGAGAATACCACTGAGCTCTTAATTCATTTCACTCAGCCTCTTTGTAGGTTTGGAAGAAGGCATTTCTTTTTGAAGAGTTGGTGGTTGACATAAAATCTGCTTTTAAGAATTCTTTGTCTATCTGGAAATCAGCTGTAATGACATTTAGCTGACTTTCGTAGACGAATTGAGTATCCATATCTGTATGGGTTGGAGATCTTGAGCCATTCTCATAGTGGATTGATGCCCTTTTTTATCATAACTGACCTCCTTTACTTTTAAGGGGTCATACATTGATCTTGAAACTCCCGACGTACTTGGTCTAGAACTCAAGAATTCCTTTACTTTTGACTCTGACGAAGGTTCTTCGCTGAATTTTATCTCAACGCTTCCATCGTCATGTTCGATGATTTGTATTAGGTTTTGAGATTCCTTCCTCCTCGGGAGATTAGCATCTTCTATTTTCCAGAGAGTATTTCTAGTTATTTGATCCCAAGAAAGAGTTTTTGGAACAGTCACCAAAGACTTTCCAATATTTGCCTCTATGAGCATGGTTGATCCTTTTGGTGAGGATCTTAATGCTCTTAGAGAAATATTTGTTTTCATGAGTTTGTAGTAAACCCTGAATATGACGACTGAGGAATGAGTTTCAGCCTTGATGTTCAAATTTTTTTATTGTAAATCCAGCATGAGGGCTGATAATATGTGCGGGTTGTGGAGCGACAAAGTAATTTTTGGATAACAATTGAAATAGACTAGTCCATTCTCTAGATTGGATTGAACCATCCCCAATAAAGAATTTGAGAAATCTTCATGTCTCTTATCTCGTAAGGAGATAAGGACAGGGATATCTAACCCAAGTCTGAACAATGGTTTTACAGTGACTCGGACAAGACTGACGTGAAGATAATTAAACTCTTCATGATGTTGGAGTATAAGAGATTTCGAAAAAAGAAAAGAGATTTCGAAAAAAGATTCAGAGACTCCCTATTGCTATGAATTGGGATATTTTTCTCTGAGAATTTGATGCACGATTTTTGAGTAAAATTGAATGTTGAAATTTGGTAGATAGTTTTAGAATCTACCTTTGGAATAGTCCAATTTTGGAGTTGATCTTCGATCTTGGCAATCTGATATTCTTGATTGACAGTATTTGAGATTGTGAGATTTTCTCCCCTTCTATGCTTATTTGAACTTCCTTCTTGATCGATAGAACATTTGAAATGGTTTGATTTTCTGAGCTTTCTCAGAAATTTGGTCATAAAGAGATAGGTAAAGTAGAATAAGTAGAACAATTTGTCTCTGAATTTTTCAATTGATATTCAAGAGAGAGCTATCAGCCGATCGATGCTCTCCTTACATTGATGAAGTCCTTTTATAGACTTCGAATTTGAACGTAAATTTGAAAAATGCCAACTAAGAGATAAGATCGAATCTAGCAGGACAGGACCCCTGCAAGATCTGTTTTCCTAAAAGTAAGAAAATATATTAAGTAAACTAATAATTTAAAGGACTAATATTTTACAACACTGATAATTCACATGTGAGCCTTCACTGTGTGGCTGACAAGTTGTCAATCTTTGTTTTGTCTTTGATGAAGTTGTCAAGATGTAGATAAAATTTTCTTCAGAATTTTTCATATGACTAAGCACCCAAGCAACGTTTTCCATATTGAGCATGCTATATGATGATGAGTGTCATATTGCATCATGTCGTTAGATCGACCTAAGACACAACCCTAAGAGCATGAAAATGATATTACTATAAATATCCATGAGCATATGTTACTTAATGTAACAAAGAAATGAGACTAGAGAGTTATGTCAAAAGAGACATTAGGATGCGATTTAGAGGGCCCTCATGCATGTTGTATGTATAAGTATGATGATGAGGGTGTTCATGAGGCACATGACACCAGGGGTTCCGCTGACCTTCGGACGTTGCTACAAATTAGTGACTAGAGAGGGTCCTGCACATGACACCAGGGGTTCCGCTGACCTTCGGACGTTGCTACAAATTAGTGACTAGAGAGGGTCCTAGGGGTGTGCGAGCTCACTTGGAAACTCACACTCGTATATGTGGGTAGAGTGACTAGAGAGGGTCCTAGGGGTGTGCGAGCTCACTTGGAAACTCACACTCGTATATGTGGGTAGGATTTAGAGGGCCCTCATGCATGTTGTATGTATAAGTATGATGATGAGGGTGTTCATGAGGCACATGACACCAGGGGTTCCGCTGACCTTCGGACGTTGCTACAAATTAGTGACTAGAGAGGGTCCTGCACATGACACCAGGGGTTCCGCTGACCTTCGGACGTTGCTACAAATTAGTGACTAGAGAGGGTCCTAGGGGTGTGCGAGCTCACTTGGAAACTCACACTCGTATATGTGGGTAGAGTGACTAGAGAGGGTCCTAGGGGTGTGCGAGCTCACTTGGAAACTCACACTCGTATATGTGGGTAGTGTGTAGGAAAGTACTACACATCCATAGTTGTCCGAGACTGGAGGTCCCAAGAGTATGATTGCATGTTTGCATTTGCATGACCCCTATAGTGGGGGCACTTTTCTTCGAAATACTCAAGCCGTGTGCCACATCATTTTTCAGGTAAAGACAAGGCGCACATGTAACGACGTCATCGCAAACAAAGACTATGGCAAGTACATAGGGTAGACTCATATTTAGATTCTTAGGTTAGGATAGGACCATGACGGTGGAGAAGAGGATGTTTTCTTAAACTCATTTCTTTATTTATTTTATTTATTTATTATTATTATTATTTTGTCTATATATTTAAGTCTATGTAGCAATCCTTACATCTCCTACTACTGGTGGGGTGACAGCTAGTTTTGGTATGTTGGGGGATATCATTATTGCCGAACCCGATGCCTACATCGCATTTGCGGGTAAAAGAGTAATTGAACAAACATTGAATACGACAGTCCCTGAGGGTTCACAGGTGGCTGAATATTTATTCGATAAGGGCTTATTCGATCTAATCGTACCACGTAATCCTTTAAAAGGTGTTTTGAGTGAGTTATTTCAGCTCCACGCTTTCGTTCCCTCGAATCAAAATTCAAACGTTAATAGATGACCCAACAAAAATTTGGTTCAGAAAATGATATGTGGCTGCTTTCTTGCTCATGACGGTAGGTTTGGTCGGGGCTCAGCTCAAGGTTGAGTCTGAGAAGATCAATATACAACCACCAATTTCCACGTATTACATTCTTTTGGTTAAAGATGTAAGCATCCTCGATAAAATGGTGCTCCACCAGTCAAAGGACGTTGGGAATTCATCATTTGCCTATTCGGGGAGATGGTTACCATTTTGGCTTTAAGGTTAACTTTTGGAGAACCACTCTCTTCTGGTGCAAAGTGGATAGGCCAGATGCATACGTCTCTTTCGAATGCTTTTGGCCGACCACACATGGCTTCGTGATAGATGCCGAAATCAAAATATAGTAACTTGCATTGGGAAAGCTAATGATGATAAAATTTATTTGAGAAACCATTGATGAATTGGTTCATAAATGGATCTTACAAGATGAAAAAGTTTGATAACTAATTTATATTTTAAAATTAATAACAAAAATTGAAACTTCACTAAATTTTAATTCATTTGTAGATATTTGATCAAGTAAGGATGTGAAAATGTCCAAAATACTCCCTTTAAGTTACTTTTGACATTTTTTAATATATTTTTAATTGAAACTTTAAAATTATAATTATGATTCTCACCGTTTCGATCTTAATCTACCTAAAATTTTTATTTATTTATTTATTTTTAGAGATTTGGTTCCAAAAAAAGATCCTTTTTTATAAATAAAATTCACTTCAATAATTTTTTAATGGCGTTTATAATTTAAAAAGATGATTTTCAGGTTACCAACTAAACTTTTACCTTGTATTAGTTAATATTTAGCTAAATTAATAAGTTATGGATTATTATTATAGTTATTGATAGTTCGATCTCGTAATATTAAGACTGTCGAAAAAAGAATATGATATTTAGATGTTAGAAAAATAAAGGTATGATATATTAATATAACTAAAATAATGTATCTTTCTCTTATAATAACATCTTTTACGAGTATTTACTGTTTGTCTTATATTATAGAAAATAGAATATGATATTTAGATTTTAGGAAAATAAAGGTATAATATATTACATCTTTTGGACAAGTATTTACCGCTTTAGTCTTATATTATAAGAAAGTTAATTGCTTAGACTATTACAAATGCTATTGAAAAATCTCTCCATACTAGAGATGTACATTTGATTTAGGCTTTAAAACCGCTCCATACTAGAGATGTACATTTGATTTATGCTTTAAAACCGCTCCATACTAGAGATGCGCGAGATAGATACGCTTTAACGATTCACCCACTCCACCCACTACAACGTTTTAAAACCTCGGGACAACCTCTTTGAGTTAAATTACTTGTGTAGTCCCTCGTTCCATCTCAAGATGGGTTTACGAAGTCGTATAGGAAATGTTCTAACCCGAATCAATATAAAATCATCCTAGTTCTAGTGCCCTAATCTTTACTCAACACAACCATGCATGCTTTGTTAGGGAGAGAACACTATCAATCACCTAGAACAAATAACTCATATGGAGATAACATTCATGATTCATATCAAATTCTCAAAAATTGAGGAGAAAGAAGGTTTATGAAACTCCATCTTACAAGCTTAAACTTGAATACAATTATTATTTAGATCCTTGTTAAGAGCCCTGTTTGTTTTGCATTCCATTATTCAGTTCTTCACCTTGATGTGTAGCTTATCTGTGAAACAAATACAAATACAATAATGAATTAATTAATTAATTATTAAGAGAAAATAAAAATGATTTAAAAAGGAAGAGAACATACCAGCGGCTTCTTTCTCACCACAATCTTCATCGCACTTAACTTCGCAGAAGCTTTGGCCATTGCCCTTTTCAAGGCATTCCTTCTCGCATTTTTCGTAGCATAACCTATACTTGGCTTCAAATTTAGCCTCATATTTGGCCTCCTTCGCGCTTTCAGTGGCACTCGAAACCTGCAATGCAGCCACCACCACAATGCACACCAACAACACTGCAATCATCTTCTTCGCCATTTTATTTTATTTTATGCTTTTTCTTGTGCCTTTCCAATGCTTCTTTTTGCGAGTGGATGAATGTTTCAAAAGCTTAGCAACCCTTTTATAAGCTTCTACCAAACCTAAATTTAGATCAATACCCTTATTTTCGCCCATATATTTGGTTCCCTAATAACAAAAATTGTATGCCTTTCATTTATAACAAATACTATCCATAACCAACCAAATTTCCTCTCAAATCTCCAAACTTATGTCACCAAATAAATACCAACTCCAAATCTTAGGTATTAGAAATGTAATTCACTCAAAAAGTATATCGAAAACATATACTAGGTCAACAAGAAACGAGTGCGAGTGAGAACTCTGGCCCCGAAGGGGTGGATTGTGGGACTAGTAAGGAACAAGTGTCAACGAGGACGCTTACCCTGAAGGGTGGATTGTGAGATCCCACATTAGTTGGGAGGAGAGCGAAACACTAAGGGTGTGGAAATCCCTCCCTAATAAACGCGTTTTAAAAACCTTGAGGGGGAAACACCCTTATAAGCAAATTTTATGACTTTTTAATTTGCTTGAAGGCTACATTTACTGGCTAATTATTCTCATAATATATGAAATTTACAAACTCTTGGAATGTTTCATGTAAGGTGAAACTATATAAAACCATGTATCTTATCTTGATAAAGTAGACTTGAAAAATGGAGTAAAAAGATCCTTTTTTTTCTTTCCTTTGACCAATGACTGTGTTTCTTTGGAATTCTATATAAAACCATGTATGTTATCTTGGTAAAGTAGACTTGAAAAATGAAGTAAAAAGATCATTTTTTCTTTCCTTTGACCAATGATTATCTTTGGAATTCTATACAATTTAGATTGAATGTTTAGAATCATTCAAGCTACACATGATCGATCTTGCTTGTGGAGTGATTTGAATCTCAAACAAATGTTCTTACCTTGAGATATTCGATCAACAAGTTAATTCGAATCTTACTTCTCTTGTAGTGATTCCTTATACTCCGGAACATGTCAGCCAAGCAAGTGGCTCCACTATCAATTTAGTTGGAATAATTGCTTTATGTATGATGACACGTGCCCAATGGCCCCTGCACGTATCATATGTGTGATATGCTTTGATATGTTATGTTATGCTATTATATACTATGATATGCCATAATATGTTTTGAAATAAGGAAATCTATAATACAGAACGTCCCTATGCCATGTCATGAATGCTATGTTATGTATGAAATAATGTATAAGAATTCTGCAAGCATAATTACCAAATTTAATATGTTATGAAAGAATGGAGGTATGTCTTGTATCATTTATTATGCCATGATAAAAAGTATGGGGATTTCATGCATAACTGCGTTCACGTGCATCAGAATACTTCCCATTATGATGAGTAGGAACGCGTATACTATAAGACTGATTCTGACACTTATGTTCGTCATGATGATACAACGACCGCTATTCCCTTTAGGTGTTCGGCAACAGCTCGCCAATGAGTGCTAGCCCAAGGGATGTGCAAGCCTACCTGGTGGGGCTACATTTGCACGTGTGGGTTGTGTTTAGAGAAGTATTAAAAATCTAATTTAGCTCAAAAATTGGAAAGCCGCCTAAGAGAATGAAAGAATGTTTCAAATGATAGTTCCAACCCTGTTGCATGTGTTTGCATTTTACGACCCCAGATTATTTACTATAATAGCCGAAAAATAAATAAAGAAATAAACAAATAAAAAAAACTTTATAAAAAAAAAAGTTAAAATAATAATAATAATAATTAATTAATTAATTAATTAAAATTAGAATTAAAAAAAAAAATCATTCCCCACCTCTCTCTACTAACCTTCTCGTCCCTTCCCACAATTATCTCTCCTCGACCCATCCCACCTAAAAAAGAAAGAAACAAAAAAAATAACAATGGTCAGTGAGAATGACTTTCAGACTGCAGATTTAGAGATTTTTGTCAGTTATTACCAGTAAAATCCTATCTCATATTTCCTTTTCCTTTATAGTTTATGGTTATAAGAAATTAATTTATGATCAAATCTTCTCCCTATCTTAACCGTCTGTAATAATCAGATCCCATATATAATTATTAGATTTTTGTTAGCATTTTAATTATACGAAATAAGGTTATAAGTTAGATTCAATAAAATTTTAGGTGGCAAATCTATAAACTAAAAGATCGTAGTACTTAAAATTGGCCAGTAATATATGTTTACACAATTGAAAAACCTATTTACATAATGAAAAAGATGAGAGAGAGGGAGGGGGATTGAGGAAAGATTTGTGAAACTGTATTTAACAATAAAAGGAAATATCAGACGGCAGTGAGCTCCTTTCAATTTTGTTTAACAGAAAACATCACAATTTTTATAGAAGGGCAGTGAGCTTCTTTAAATTTTGTCTAACAAAAAAGATCAGAATTTTACTATGGGCAATGTAAATTAGGGAAATAATTGTATAGAGTTCAAACTTGAAACTGATGTCATGAGCTCATATAGGTTGACTCATATTTCAAAGGACGGAATCGAACTTTCATTAAAGATATATTTGTGACAATGACTTAAGCGAGCCAGGTAAGTGACCTTATTATCGGCATGGTTATATTTGATATTGACACGTGCCCTGTGGTTCTACACATGTCATATATATTGATATGTGTGAATTGTCTGTGGATCGATATGCTTCCTATATATTATGTTATGTTATAATATGTGGATTGTATGATAATAATCATGGTACGATGTGCTCTAGGAGATGTTTGAGATAGGATACGAGAAGGATGCACAAAACGAAATGTAACGATAGGAGTAAGATACGTTCATGAAACGTTAAGGTTAGGTTACATACCAGAGTTCTATGGATAGGAGAGATTGATGAAAGAATACGGTTAGGTTATGGGTAGAAAGGGATAGGTTTGTGATAGATTGATAGAACGATGGCGTTAGGATACGTTCTGGTGATGATATGACTAAGGTACATTATGTAATGATATGTTCGTGATAGGTATAAGAACGTTAAGGCTATGGTAAGTTAGAGAACGATATGACTATGAAGTGTCTACGTTATGACTTGTTTATGATATGATGCATTGTATGCTAGATTATTGTGCTTAAGTACGTAGTTATGTGAACGTGAATGTATGCTTTTAGTCTGATGTGATGTGTAATGCATATAACAATGTGTGGTCCTTGAACGATTATGGCTTGTTTGTATGAATATTTGAATGTAACTGCATGAATTGTATGACATGAAATACGGTAAATTGCATGAAACATAACACCGTTAGCAATATGTATGATATTTAAAGAAATGAGAATGGGAATGACATGTAAGCATGAAAACATGACAGGGGTTATGTTCATTAATGATAACTGTAGGACTAGTGGGACCTCATGCATATTGTGTGCACATGCATTTGGGGGCATACCCCTATCCCATCACGAGGGTACGGACGCGTACATCTTAGGGTAGGACAATGATCGTTATGCTTTGCATAGCGCTGCCGTGACGGTTCTAGTTTTAACGGGTCTCGGTATAAGGGCTCCCAGAGCATGCCCACCGGCTAGGGACAGTGGCCCAGCGGTGTGCGAACTAGCTGGTGAGCCCATACTCGCACGTATGGGCTGCGTGTAGAGTATATGGTACACGTCCACGATTACCTGTTAGGATTACACCGTAGGGAAAACGAAACGAAACAAAACGAAACGAAATAAAATGAAACGAAACGAAACAAAATGAAAGATAGGTCCCATCATTTCATTGCATGTGATTGTTGCATTTAACCCCAATAGTGGGGTCACTTACCGAGTATTTCTTTAAATACTTAAGCCATGTGCTATTACATTTTTCAGGTTAAGGCAAGGCATTCCTGTACGGCTGACGACAGCACCGCAACTTAGGATCATGGCACATGCATAGGATAGTGGCATTTATTTTCTTAGACTTAGGATAGAATAGGATATTTTAAACTTAAACGCTTATTTATTTTATTTCGAGTCTTTTGTTGTGTCGTTTTAAAGATGTTTTCGAAACACGTAAGTCCATGACTGTGTTTTAAGTTAAAGGTTATGTTTTATGGAATTTAAATGAAGTCTTCTGCATTCAATGTTTATGGTACGTATACAGTAGCGACCTTAAATTAAGTAGAAAATTTCGGGTCGTTACATTTACTGAGTACTTCGTAAAATACTCATGTCGTGTGCAAACTTATACATTCTAAGTAAAGGTAGGCACCCCTGTATGGATGACAGTAGCAACGCATGAAGACCATGAAATCGGTGCTAGGGTAGTTGCATTTCGTTTTATTATATTTTCTTAGGTTAGATTAGGGAAATTATTTTCTAGATTTTGGATATATAATTTATTCTTGTTTCTTATATGTTTTGGATTGACCAAAAATTTTACTTTTAACGTATGATCTCACGACATGGTTTATGAACTATTTAAAAAGAATATTTTCACATAAAAAAGTCAGATCATGCATATGATAAGAACAGGTTGGGATCATTACATTCACAATAAATCATTAGACTTAAATTAATCATATCATTTAAAAATATGAAATGATATGGTAGAAAGAAAACGCTAACGGAATTGTATTCTAAATTGTGTTCAGTAAACTTAACTTAAAAATATGTCAATATTATTTCATATAACTTGGATCATTCATCCAAATATTGTTTGGTGTAATATTATATTTATTAAGTACAAATAATTAATAATTTCTCAAAATCTTTAGTTTTCCTTTTTTCTCTTTGTAAACTCCGTTTTTTTTTTTTTTTTTTTTTTTT